AATTCATTTTTTACAAATGTGTGAATATTGTTATAAAGATATTCTTGATGTTTAAGCCTCATAGAAGTTGGTGATGAAAATATGGGAAATGATAAGGTTCTAATATCTTTTATGACATTAAAATTCCTGCCCTCTTAGTCTTAATTCATGAAAGGGGCGTCTGAGCTTTTACAACACCAGGATCAGAAGGTTCGAATATTAAAGTTTTTGAATAACACCTAACTTCTTAAAGCATGCTTCTGAGCTGAATTCAATGACAAAGTAATAAAATCTTTTTCCATCTTATAATATAGAGTTTTATTCAATCCAGCCAACAGTGCTGGATCTTTTTGCAACATCTGCAACACGATCCACAGCTGTTATCTTTCAATAAAATTTTTATCAAATTTTTTTTCTCAAATATTAAAAAATTATCATTTCGTAGTTTAATGCTTTTTGTCATTGGTAAAAATTTGTTACTAACAGCAATAAAATTGATTAGATCAAAATTTTTTATTTTGATTTGATTTTTAAAAATGCCAAAAAAATTATAAATTAACTGAAATTGAGCAAGTAAAGTTTTTGGTCCTTAAATTAGGTGATAGTAGTCCCAATAAAACTGTAAAGACACTCAAACTTCCAAGAAATGGTGGCTAAACACAAATCAATATAATATTATTTTGGAATAAAAATGGATTGTTCTAATGCTTTGATGTTTTGTTTATTTCGGACCTTATTTAAATTATATATCAATTCATCAACAAATAGATAATCAATTAAAGTTGTGTTTAGACAAATGAAGTTGAATAGCAAGGCAATGGAATTTTGTGATGAATCCAACTTGTGTTTGGTGAAAAAGTGGGAGCATTACAAAATTGGGGGCATCAGGTCTTCTGTTGAACATGGTGGTGGTGAGTACAACTCCAACAAGCCGAATTTATACTTAGCCCGGGTCAACTCGAAATTTAATATTATTTTTTATAAATCACGATTTTGCAGACCACTGAATAATTAATTAAAACAATGATAAACCATATTGGTTGGAAATGTTTTAGGTATCGTTTCAATGAACCTATGAAAATGAAAATTGTATTTATACCAAAATTACTAATCACGTTTCAACGAATTTTATATCTGATACGTTTTATAAAAATTTTCGTTGAAACGAGATTTGATTGCCCAAAAGATTAAAAGCGAAATGCAAAAATGTTAAAAAATCTTTATTATAATTGAATTAAAGTTTCAATTCGGAACATCAATTCTTATCCGAGTTATTATTATTCGTAATACAACTCGATCTTAATTCGAATTTTTCGTTTTTTCGTTTTGAGCTTTAGTGGTGAGATAACGGTGTTTTTCTGGCAAAGGATTCATAACTCTTATTAAGTTGGAAATGAAGATGAACAATTGAGATTACATCGAAATTTTAGAAAGAAATTTATTGTCATTGACAAGAACAAAAATTATTGTCCGTTTGGGTTTTGCCCGCAGTTTAGGAGTTTTGCCCATAGTTTAGGCAATTTTTAAATTTTGCCAGAAAATTTTCATGGAGTCTAAACCAAAATTGCCTAAATGTTTGAACTATGGGCTAGTTTCGGCCACCATTACTAGAACTCAAACAACAAGGTACGCTAGATTGATTGAATCTTTGAAGTATTGTAATTTGGTAGTTAAATCATAGTTTATTATCATCATAATTATCTTAAATTTGCTTAGTGTTATTAACTCTATTATTATTATTTGAAAGATAGTATAACAGTTGACTTATAATGAGCAAGCAGACACGAAGTTTTTGAATAATATGAAAGTTTATTTCATTCATTCATTATTTTTAAAAGAAATTTTATTAATCATTGTTTATTTAAAACGTATTGACTATATAGAAAGTAATATAATGGTTTTTTTTAAATTATTATTGTGCTATGGTGCGAATCATCTAAAGACATCACGTGCTGCGCCACTTGCCGAAAATTTTTATGCTGTTCTTGCTTTATAAAGAATCCAATATATAAAACAAATC